CCTCGACGCTCTTTCTCGTTTGGTGCGGTAGCTGGTCTTTCTTTCTATCATTTTGTTTCTCTTCCGAGTGGTTTTTGTACCCTATTTTTTTCTGTTTCTTCGTGGGGTCGTGTATGCCGGGTTTTGAGACCACGGGCTCCCAATCTTTCTTTTTTAGAGCTAATGTGAGAAACAACAACAAAACAACAAACAAACAACAACTACCATGTCTTCAGGGATCATTGTCCTGGTTATGATACCCTTGTCCCGTGTATTGAAAGTAAGATAGATCACGAAAGATAAACAACCAATGGGCGATTGTTTTTGGCGATGATGGCGGTGATGGCGGCGATGGCGATGAGAGGGGGCGATTGGGCCTCCCGCTTTGACCCATCGTGTAACCAACAGCGAAGCACGTGGGGGAAAGAAGTGCCTCATGTCTGTCGTTTTTTTCGCTGCTTTGGTTGCTCTCACGGGCATCGCCTCCCCTATCAGTTGGCGCAATTGGAGGACATGGTGATTTTAGTCAGAGGAAAGCTGTCGAACAGCGCAAGAACGACGGTGGGAGCCCTCACGGTCATTGACGTGCACGCTCGGGACGTCATGATCAAGCTCGCCTACGAAAAGGTGGCCGAAAAGTGAGAACAACGATGCATGCTGTGGTCGTTGGCGTTACCGTCATTATTGGTGTGCTACCGTCGTGGTGTGAGATATGCTCCTTTCTTTGGTAGAGGTACTCCGCCGTACTTGCGGCTCCCGTCCTAAGCAGAACATCATGGTCCCGTGCCAAAAATTATTGTCTAGACGGGCAATGTGTTCATTCTCTCCGAGTTTGGCCACGGTGTGGCACGAAAACGTCCAACCACGCAGACTGGTAGTCTGGCATTCCCCAACCTGCTAACCCTAAATGTAGTCCTCTCTGTGGTACGTTACCTCCAACACCGTTCTTGCGGCACACCCGATATCACTTACTCTGATAATTCACGTTGAGGTCTGATTTTTCCTGGACGAGCCAGCTGCGGTACTACTGGGACGAAGGTGATCTCTGGGCGGAGATGGTGGCAGCGAGGCGACCGTACGGGTACGAGTACCTCGGGAACTCTTTCCGGCTCGTGATCACACCGCTCACAGACAAGTGCTACCTGACGCTCATGGGCGCCCTTCAGATGATCCTCGGTGGTGCTCCAGCAGGTCCGACGAGCAAGAGAAGTCTTACGCTCGGAATCGCTGTAAAGTTGCCATGAATGCGTCAAAGCTTGGAATCACAGAGCGAACACCGAAGAGTACCTGACCCGCCGGCCAGGCGTTGTTCGGATCTTCGTTGGCGTCTTGGCAACAGCACCGTCTGCATGCAGCACGTCTGGGCAAACTAGTTAGAGAAGCGGCAAAAAACAAAACATGCCGCTGGTGCCCTAGGGATCAAGTACATGCAATATCTTGTGAATGATATGAAACTTGCCCTTTTCGTGGCTGACTGGTGTGTGTGCAACTCTCAGGGCCTGCGGGAACCGGGAAGACCGAAACGACCAAGGATCTATCCAAGGCCCTGGCGATGCAGTGCGTGGTGTTCAACTGCTCCGACGGCCTCGACTACATCGCCATGGGCAAGTTCTTCAAGGGCTTGGCATCGTGCGGCGCTTGGGCCTGCTTCGACGAGTTCAACCGGATCAACATCGAGGTTTGTGCACGCTTGGCTATTTCATGTTCATGCACGCGCGCGCGATGTTGATATTCTGTGATACTTGCTGGCCCACGATATTGTTTTCCGGTTTTCCCAGCATATGGTGTTGTTTCCGTGCAACTTGCAAAAACAAACGTGCGCAGGTACTGTCCGTGGTGGGCCAGCAAGTCATGACCATCCAACAGGCCCTCAAGAGCGGCAACCCGCGAATTTCGTTCATGGGCAGCGACATCATCGTCAAGCCCGGCTTTGGAGTGTTCATCACCATGAACCCTGGATACGCGGGGAGGTAAGGACGTAAATCCTCGTTTGCCCCCCAGGACCCAACAGGCATACGTATGATCATTGAGAACACAGCGGACCCCCGACGGCAACCTTCTTCAATTTCCTGGAAGATCAAAGTATCGTGAAACGCTCATTCATCGTGTAAACCATCCCGCGCGTGTGCCTGTGTAGATTTTGACTTCCCTCACGCCGCCCTATGCTTTGCAATCAACCACACCCATTGAAAGGTCGGATCTTCCCGACTCCCTGAAGGCCCTGTTCCGGCCGGTGGCCATGATGGTGCCCGACTACGCCCTGATCGGGGAGATCATGTTCTTCGCCTACGGCTTTGCTCAGGCCAAGGAGTGCGGCGCGAAGATGGTCACCACGTTCAAGCTTTGCTCGGAGCAGCTTTCTGCCCAGGTATCTGTTGGCCTTGTTTTGTATGTTGCGCGCTGGGCATGTTGAAGCAGGAGTAAGTAGGGTGTTTAACACATTGCACGTTCCGAGAGCCGATAACCCATCGAGCGTTTTTGTCCGCGACACAGAACAGGCATAGCCGGAAGGTCTAGCATGCGGCACCTTGTTTTGCACACCATTGGGCAAAGATCATGATGGAAAGTGAAAACTCCTTGTTTTGTACTGTTGGTCAAGCGAAATTCTCAAATCACGTTCATTTCCAAATTTGCCTAGTTTACGCTGGAGGTTCTCTTTCACCACCACTCCGCTACCCAAATAGCCTTAGTCATTCAACAGGGATTTCACGGAGACCGAATGCATGATATGTACGAGCATCTTTCTGATTTTCGGATATTTTTCTAGAAACGAAGCACCTGGTACGATATGTCCTACTAGCGTCAGAGCATTTCGTGACGTTCTCTCCTTGTCTTACCCTCCCTCCGAAACCGGAAAGCCTCACTACGACTACGGCATGCGAGCGGTAAAGACGGTCATCACGGCCGCCGGAAACCTGAAGCAGGCGGAGCCCGACGGCGATGAAATGGTTCTCCTACTGAGAGCTCTCCAGGCAAGCAACACCTCGTCACAGACAATCGGTTCACACCGCTGTTCCTGAACTCTCCCCGCATCGTTGGGGGCTGTTCTGATCGTATTCTCGCCTCGTCCTCAGCGGTACAAGCTACGCAGCACAAGCCTTCAACGCCAAACCCCGTTCTGGCTCCAGCGTCAGGACTAGACGTGGCTTCGTGCAACGCCATGTCAAGCACACGAAAGGCTAATGTCTTCATGCCAGCGACAAACGACCGTACTTCTCTGTGTCGGGAGTGTGCGGGTACCCCCCTCCCCGCTCCCTCCGGTGGACGAACTTCCCATCCATCAGAGTGTCGACGGCTATCTTGCCCGCGTCTATTGGTAGCGAGAAAAACGCAAGCGACCGTCGCCTCCAATACGAGAATACCGTACAGTCATACTAGGGCACCGGCTCCGAATTTTTGACGATTGATCCTCACCTGGCCAAGAAGCTGTGTGATGCCTTCAGAATATGCAGTTGTGATCCCTACGGTACTGAGGGCTGTGAACATCAGTGTATCAGCATAAGTGGGTTCAACGCAAGCCGACTGTGGAACCGTTTCTTTTCCCATCCATTGCAAGGACTTGAACACGCCCCCTTTCGACTGTGGCACTTATTCGAACGTGGAATCTTTTGTGACTCTCACGTATATTTTCTTCTAAAAATATCCCATGACACGGCCGCGCAGGACGTTAACTTCCCTAAGTTCCTGGAGATGGACTTGCCGCTCTTCGAGGGCATCATCTCCGATCTCTTCCCGGGCAGGAAGCGACCCGTGCTGGACTACGGCGACCTGAACAGCGTCATGAAGCTGGTGATCCAGGCGAAGGGCTTGCAGCCGCACCCCTTCTTCACAACTAAGGTGACCCCGGTGTACGCGTGGGTTCCAGAACATGTACCTACAGCGGTTGACGCGGATTAAGAACACTGTGATCCGCAGGTACACCATAGACTGTGCGTCGCAAGGCAGATTGCTTTATATTTGAGCGTCACCCCAATCATAACTGACTTCAAGGTAAAATGGTATGTTCGTTTTTGTATTCACACAGGATGTACCTCTCAGCTTTTCCGTGTTGGTCTGCCGCACCTCTTCCTCCTGCCCTCCTTCCCGCCTCTCCACCAGGTCATACAGCTTTACGAGATGATCGTGGTCCGGCACGGGCTGATGCTGGTCGGGCCGACGGGGGGAGGAAAGTCTTCGAACCTCCACGTTCTCGAGGAAACGTTGTCCCGTTTGAAAAAAATGGGCAAAGAGGTACGGGAAATTTCACGGTGATTGCTGTGCCGTGCGATTCCTCACCACTCAAGAGCCACATTAGACTGTGTCCGTCTCTGCGTGCCCAGTTTCTCCTTGAGAAAACCTACCCTTCCTGCTTCTCGAATCTGACTGTTTACCACCTTCTTCGTACTCTCCACGCCCTGCACCGCTTTCTTCAATGACGGCACGACCACTCCCCCAAGGGCTTCGGCTACGAGAAAGTTATCATCTATCAGCTCAATCCAAAGAGCATCACGATGGGACAGATGTACGGCGAGTTCGACCCAAGCACGCACGAATGGCAGGACGGAATCATGTCCACGATGTACAGGTGAAAACCGAGAAGAGAGTGGTTTCACTGGTTGTGTGGCTTTGTGTACGGTTTCACACCTCCGTTCGCATCACGCTTTCTGCGTGTCGAATTGTGAGCGTTTTTCAAGGTGCCATAGAGTTGCTGGAGCGATTTCCTGCAATTATTTACTGGTTGTGATGATCCCTGATAACGATATACACCTCTGTATTGAAACCTACGTCAAGCGGTACAAACGCGAGAGAGCTACAGGATAAGTACCGCCGATACTTTGGTGATGCATGTGATATTCCACGTTTCTCAGTTCAACGTCGTTTTAAACCAGTTTTCTCCTTTCGTGAAGAGCCCCTGATCTGGCCGTCAACACCAGAACATCTGTCTTTTCACCGCTTTGTTCTCGAAAACTAGGTCTTCCCCACGATAGTGTAATTGTTGTAGTTCGCCCATAGATTTTTCTCAGTCTCTCGGCCGAAAGCACTAGTACCACCGACGGGGGAAATCATCTGTTGACACCTGGGCGAATTCTTCACTTTACACATGCCCCCCAACACGATGGGTTTCCTATAATTGTCGCTCAGGCTGGCAGCTTCCAGCCCTACTTCGGACAGGAAGTGGGTTGTCTTTGATGGACCAGTCGATGCCATCTGGATCGAGAACATGAACACCGTTCTCGACGACAACAAGAAGGTGTGCGTGGCTTGCTGATTGGCTTCGGCATATCGCAATGCTTGCTGCTACAGTGTTCAATCTGATGATCATCGTCACGTGATTATCTTGTGTTGGTTGAGGTTGGGGTAGTCATGGAACTATCGAATCCGGTTGTGGAACCCACCGACGTAAATTATCCAAATGCCAACTCTAAATATGGATTCGTTTTACCCACAACATGAGAAACATTTTGACGGGAGGTACGGTTTGCATGGGTTTGTCTATTCCGCAAGAACAGGAGAGGATGCCAACAAAATACGCTTACGATTGCGAAAAGAACACGTGACAAAAACACCCAAAAACATTAGTTTTTGAACCAACGGCCTTCTTGCTATCCGTCTGCACCCGCGCGCTGTTGTTTGAATCCTTACTTCACTGCAGCTGTGCCTGAATTCGGGGGAGATCATCAAGATGTCTCCTGAAATGACTATGATGTTCGAGGTGAGTGAGTGTGTTTTTGGTACCAGTCTTTTCTCGCTTTCCGTTTCATGCGTGTGAGGTTCTGTTGGGTCATCAAACCCTTCGAACTCTTGTATTTCTTTCATGCCCACATAGTCTAGTTGGCGAAGGCAGCAGGTGCAAGGACATCCAAACACAACGGCAAAATATGTTCTAGGGTCCGCGCGATCGATCATTGTCCAGTTGGAGGTGGTCATGCGTTGACATTACCATACTCCGAATATCTTCAATGCCCCGATCGCGTTTGCTCCAGGTCGAAGACCTCACTGTAGCCTCTCCGGCCACCGTATCTCGGGTGGGGATCATCTACATGGAGCCAAAAGGCCTGGGGCTAGACGTGCTCTGTCAGACGTGGCTCGCAACCCTGCCGTCCACGCTGCCGCAGGACATCATTGTCCAGTTTTCCGCTCTCTTCGACACGTATCTTAGCTCAGGTGATCATCTTTCGGGGTGACTATTAGTGCGTTGACTTACCACAAACGATTTCACCAGTGGTAACGAAATCCCTCCGAGTGTGACCCCGAAAAGCAACTTCCACCAGCCTACGGAGAGAAAATTGTTTACTGGCAGCTCCGGTCGCTTCCATAGGTGCCCCATGCTCCAGGAATCGTTTGGTGGTGATGCCCGGTCTCATTGGACGAACTAGCGCGTTAAACGACTTTGGCAGGAAATTGACTTTCTCTCGAACCGAGGTATGAGATCTGCGATCTTTTTCTGGACCCCGTACCCAGGACTCTCAACCCTGGTGCAAGCGAATCGATGACCCCCGGAACCCTCCCCGCCCCTCTTTGAACCGATTCTTAATCAGGCATTGCTTGGGTTCGGCAGTGGTGCCGAGAGGTGGTTCCGACCGTCGACAACAACCTGGCTCAGAGTCTGATGCGACTGCTAGACTGCTTCTTGGAGCCGTTTCAAGAGGTTGAAGGCGCCGCACCGCCGAGCCCTAAGGTGCCATATGCGTGTGTACAGGCTCCGAGGCTACCCGAATTTGCACCAGCAAGGACTTTCGTAGTTCATGGCGTGATACACCAGTCGCGTGGTTGCTTTGGACACGTGGTTTCAAGAGAAAACAACGTCACATTTTGTCAGATCGTCCTGTCTCGAGCAACTAACGTACCATAGTCTAGCCCTCCGTCGATGAATTTCCAGGCGATCAAGGCTTTAGTGACCCACGTGGAAGCGCTATTCTTATTTGCCTTCGTCTGGAGCGTGGGCTGCACCGTCGACCAAGCGGGGCGGAGGCAGTTCGATGCCTGGCTCAAGTGCGAGACGGCCAGCAACACCAGCCCCTGGCTGTTCCCCAAGGAGGGCACCGTGAGTTGAAGGACCCTTTGACTGGATTTGAATGTGCCTCTCTTGGCAGGGGAACACGATGAACGGCACTTTATAGTTGGGTGGTGAGACAACCAACCTTGTACGCTACAGTGCGGGGTATTGTGTAAACGTGCATTGTGTTTTGAGATATGCTGTACCAGCTGCCATTGTATTTCGCAAACAGTCTCTGAAAGTGAACAGATCAACCAGAAAATAGCCAACACAACGCAAACACCCGATCACACGGCACAGGTATACGACTACGTGTTCGTGCCGGAGAAGGGCGACAAGGGAGAGTGGGTCCCATGGATGACCACGACCGAGGCTTACTCCGTCGATCCCAAGCTTCAATTCAACGAGGTGCGCGCTTGCTGGGAAAATGATTGCGATGAAACCTCAAACATGAGACAGTTGAGACAGGTGCAACTCAGTCTAGAGTCATCTTCCTGCTGGAAATTTTTTAGTGTTCCCAATCAATTGTTCCGTCCTATTTCCTTGCGGAATCGATGCCCTTGCTGACTACATGCCCCCTCTTTCCCTCTCCGGCGGGTGTTTGCTTTGCTGTCGTTCAGATCATTGTACCCACAACTGACGGTGTCCGCAACACCTTTTTGCTCGACCTCTTGATCCGCGGAGGGAAACACGTGTTGACTTGTGGACCGACGGGGACCGGGAAAACTGTCAACATCGCGCAGTACCTCATGGGCCAATCGTTTGTCGGCGGAAGGTGCGCATGGAAATTCTCCAACCGAATGACTAGTTTGGCTGCGCTGTACAGCAACAGCTCGGTGCGCCTAGGCGACATGCCTGTACCTTCGACCCTGTGGGAATTTTGAAGGACTGACCCATCTACCCAACCTTCGCCATGGTTAGGAGAACGCGGTCACTAAATTTCATCGTTGATGTCCCCTGTCTCTGCATATAACCACCAAATCTATTGTTGTGTTAGGTGTGTGGATGCTTCGGTGTCTCCGTTCACCATCGCCTTCTCGGCGCAGACTTCGGCCAACATGACCCAGGTATGTCGACCGTGTTTAACCGGGCATATCAGCGAAAAGCAAAACATGTACCGAGTTTACCTTTCAACTTTTGTAGGTAAAGTTGAACAATCGGAAACAACAGCAGCTATCGCTACTCAAAAACAGCGACCGAACTGGTATAAACGCTAAGTGATATTTTGAATAATTCGTTGTATACGAGGTGTAGCGTTTCTTCAGCCGCTCGATACATTATGAATTATGAGAGGGTTACTGTGACCAAACCTTGACCCAACGATCGCTACACCCGCCCGTAACACCGTCCCCAGGATATGATGGACGCTAAGATGGAGAAGCGAAGAAAAGGGGTCTTCGGCCCCCCCGCCGGGAAGCAGTTCGTTGTGCACATAGACGACCTTAATATGCCTAAACAGTGAGTCAAGCTCTTTCGCCGGAAAATGTTAAAACTTGTCTGTTCTCGAAATATCCCTGAATATTGCTCAATGCCCCCGAGGATTGCTTTTTCGGTAGGTCTATCTGTGCTTGACACACGCTTTAGCGGTTTCACATCAGCGTTAACAAGGTGAGACAGGACGAAGAAAGAACCAACAATAAGTAGGAAAGGCTGCCTGAAACGAGCCGCACTGTTGACAGTCAACCACATCCACTGACTCACGAACCACAGGGAGGAATATGGAGCTCAGCCACCAATCGAGATCCTTCGGCAGTGGTTTGACCAGGACGGGTGGTACGACCGCAAAGAGCTGACCTACCGGAAAATCATCGACGTGACCATGGTTTGCTCCATGGGCCCTCCCGGGGGCGGCAGGTCAGGGTCATTTGCCTCGACAAAGAATCGGACGCTTGTAGTTGTCCTCGTTGGAGTTGTCACACCAACTTGTCACGATCCCTAGCACTTTGTGACGGTAGGGGTGCATGTGAAAGGATCGTTGCAGATTTAACAGTACGGCTCTCGGAAAGCTGTCATCCAAAACCGGGCGGTACGACCGAAGGACGTGTACTCTTCCTGGAGCCCACACGCTGTTTTCAATGATCTCTTGGTTTGTTTTCAATTGTTGAGTGGGAAAGCTTGGTTTCGTTTAACCCCCATCGGTCTAATTATCAGCTGTTCCGCGTACCGTTATGATGACCCATTGGAGAGCTCCTGTCCCGGACACTTCAGAATCGTTTGTCTTCGCTGCGTTCCAATTCCTTCTCGGCAAAATTTGCTTAGCAGCTCCTTTCCTCACGTACACTTTTGTGTTGTACGCGATATCCGAATTCTGCATCTCACGTAGTACGCAATTCTTCCTCTCCGACTGCGATTCTGTACTCCAAACGGGCCACGGTCCTACCGATGCCTGCTGACCCTGTCGTGCTTTTGTTGTGCTGCTCTATGCGCGTACATTCAGTACTCGAGGAATCGATATGCGTTCCACTTACTTCTGGCTTCATTACATCTCTTTGATTATTGCACCAACCACAAACGCCGTTTGTTCCTCCAGGGCCCACGTAACCCCTCGGTTCGTGCGGCACTTCAATGTAATCGGGTACGTCGACATGTCGGACGACGACAAGCGCGTGATCTTCAGCACCATCCTCGACAATTTCCTCTCCACCGGCTTCGAGACGACCTTAGCCAGGTGCCAATATAGAGAGGAAAGCAGAACTGCGCCAAAACTTACTTCGTGCAAAGGCAGTGGCCTGATAAGCAGACGCTCAATGATGGTGCAGAATCCCCTCCCCATCTGGTGCTTGCGGCAGTACAATCATCATGAAGCACTTGTCTTGCAGTTTGACGGGCGGTCGCGCACTCGCTTCGTCGTTGTCACATCGCTGTTCCATTCGCTTGATCCCAATGGCAACAAGGCTATCCTCGGCAGTGGTGGACGCAACGATCGAGGTGTTCAACACCATCACGAGGGAGCTGCTCCCCACGCCCCAAAAGAGTCACTACACTTTCAACCTTAGAGACATGGCCAAGGTTTTCCAAGGTGGGACTCGGCTATTTGCGCGTGTGTGGTTCCAGCAAAATAATCACTTCGACAACTGTCGTCCCTTATTTTAGAGCTGATTTCTAGCCTATAGCAGGACACGATACCTTCTCGCTCCTGACATGGCATGCGGATATATAGCCAAACGAGCGCGCGGCAATGCTGGAGGTGCTGCATGTAATCTTAATAGTGCCACAAGAGGAAACAGAGAGGGAGAGCAAGCGCAGCTTTTACGCTATGGCTTTATAATTTGGTGCGCAAATACATCAACCCCTTAGGGTTTTCGCACCCCTACACTACTTATCCGTTCGAAAGGTATGCTCATGAGCAGCTACAAGTCCGTGACGACGCCGGAGATGCTGGTCCGCCTGTGGTGCCACGAGAGCAAGCGCGTGTTCGAGGACCGGCTGATCAACGCCGAGGACCACGCGTGGTTCAAGGACCTCCTCAAGGGCATCGTGACCAACAACTTCCAGATGGATTGGCACGACGTGGTCCCCCAGGTGCGACCAACTTCTTCCACGACTGCGCTTTCTCGTGCGGGGCAGAAAACAGACACGACGAGGTTCTCAAGGGGATAGTTCCCTCTCCGAAGGAGCCTACCTGCCTTGTGTACTCTTTAAGACAACAAGGTGACACGGAATCACCAGTAGCTTACCGCGGGACTCCTGTTAAACCGCGCCTTCCGCGTGGCGTTACAGGAGCGCTTGATCTACGGGGACTATATGATACCGGGAGCCGAGCCCACTGTCTACGAGGAGGTCCCGGATTTGGACAAGCTCACGGTGAGCCAGGAAATGCATCGAGTATCACGACTCGAAAAGGTCTCAGTCTTGAAGAAGTTTGTCAGCCTTGGTGTGTCTCTTCGTTGTATATAAACGGTTCAGAGTGCATTCAAGACGGATCTTGCCGATCGGTCTCGTAAACAAGTGCGGCAATAAAAACGTATTTTCGCTGGGTTTTGGTGGGAAATTTGCTTTCCCCATCGCGCAGTCGACCATCAACCAGTACCTCGTGGACCACAACGGGGAGTCCAAGCAACCGATGCCGCTCGTCATGTTTCTGGACGCGATCGAGCACGTCTCGAGGGTCAGCCGCATCCTGAGACAGCCGCAGGGAAACGCTCTTCTCTTGGGGGTGGGCGGCTCCGGACGTCAGTCAATGACGAAGCTGGCCACCTACATCGCCGGATACGACCTCTTCCAGGTGCATGTTGAATGTCAACCTGCTTTTGGTGGCCGTTGTTGGTGTATTGCTATTATTTGGCTGCACTGCGAGAGGATGGAGGGTTGAATCTTAAGGTGCGTATGGTCGTTGTTGGTATCGTCCTTAGTATTGTCTGAATTGAAAAATAGCGGACGGAGGATGTTTATTGTGAGGAGTCATGTTCTTGAGAGCTAACCCAGAGTTCGCAAGTGGCGCACACCGGGAATGATCGCTCTGGTGCGGTTCCAAGGTCACTGTCAGCAGCACGTGCAGCAAGTGCAACGACTTGGCAATCAATAGAAGAATTCCGACCTCGTCTGCCAACGATGACAGCAGTAACAGCAATTGTCGTTCCCATTTGCTTTGCGATAGGTGGAGATCAGCAAAGGATACGCCGTTTCGGACTGGAGGGACGATGTTCGGAGGTGCCTCCTCGGAGCCGGACTGAAGAACAAGCCCACTACATTCCTCTTCAGGTGAGTTATCGCAGGGGGAAAATTCTAGAAGAACGAGGTTCTGCAGGGAGAGGGCGTTGTTTACGGTTGAGTCTGGATCATAACTGCCTTGAAGGGATTTCGAAAAACGGGTGCAAGCGATTTCAGGGTTTACATCGTGGGGATAGATATTTATATTTGGTTTCACATCCGTGCCATGTGTGTACAGGCAACGTCCTTTCGTTATACGGTCTGGACACCTGTGCCAGCAAACACAATAGCGTTCTTTTCGCGCCGGTCGATGATTGGTCAAGAGGTTCCAAAAGACAGGCTGAGACGTATTTCACCTACCTGCGACCCTGCTCCAGGCCCCAAAAACCAATTTTCCATTCGGTTCACAGGACACCTGCTGTTGTCGGGTCGCATGCAAGCTTTTATACCGAGATCGTGACCAGCCGACCACGATTAGCTGTGAGTGCTATAATGTGCCAAAACCTCCGGCACGGCGTCCACGAATTGCTCCTGACCCCTGCAATTCTTGCGACTTCCGTCCACCCGTTGCGCCGCCCCCGACACCGTGTGACACTTTCCCAACGAAACAGTGATGTTCAGATCGTGAACGAGGTCATGCTGGAGGACATCAACAACATCTTGAACGCCGGAGACGTCCCGAACCTGTATGCCCCCGAAGACCTCGATGCCATCATGTCCACCTGTAGGTGAGGACGATTGCCCAAGAGAAGGTCGCCCGAAAGGAAAATGGTTACATCGAAATTGCCGGTGACAGACAAGCAGATCATGGTTCACACACGAGCACCCCTTCCAGGTTGTCCCCCCAGCCCTCTGACGGAGTTTTCGCGAACACGTTAGGCTGCGAAATGGAGACGGAAGTAATCCCATGCATTCATCTTGATTGCAGTGTGTCCTTCATGATTATCCCCGGCACGTCGCCTCCCGGAATTCCCGTTGCAGTATGAAAATAATGCTTTCCTCCACACGTCGTGGGACACTAGCCACTGCTGCACAATCGTGCCTTGCGCGTGACGACAAATACCTCGAAACATGAGGGCTTACATGCCTATCCCTCCCGAAGGCGCTTTTCGGATCGAAGATTGCCATTGGAAATGGTGGTTCATCTCGACAGAACTCAATATGTTGCAAGTCATTGTTCTTTTCCCCTATCCTTGTTACGTGTACAGCACCTCCACATTATGGAAGAACGCTCATCATTGGCTTACTCATTTCCGTAACCCCACCGTGCCTTCTTTTCCACATAAAAGTATTTCTTGTGCCGCAAAACCCCGCATAAGGTTTTTCGAGTCGGCCCCCTGCACGACCCCCCCTTGCATTGCCGTTTAGGGTGGACTGCCAGAGGAAACGGATCCCTCCCACGAAGGTCAACATCTTCGCCCAGTACGTGACTAGGGTGCGCTCGTGCATCCACCTCGTCATATGCATGTCTCCCATCGGGTCCGCGTTCAGGGACAGGCTGAGGATGTTTCCCTCGCTTGTCAATTGTTGCACTATCGGTAAGGAGAAACACGCACCTCTTGGCGTCATTGGGCCTTCGAAGAAAGCCTTTGTCAATGTATCGCACAAGTTCCTACGGGACGCTGTTGAAGCAAGTATCTGAGATGCAATAAGGGAAGAGAGGAACAGGCAAGGTGGAAGAGGAGAGGGTGCGAGCAGAGCTTGTGTGAAAGCTCAAACACGTGAAAGCATTGTCGTTGTAGGGCCGAACATTTTCTGCTGTTGCTGGCTCTATTGCACCAAACTCCGGGAACAACCAAAGAACCGTTCGTGCTGCAAAAAGTCAATCGATGTACCAGCTATTGTAAGAAACCTGGTGAGCGTGATTGGCGTCGGCATCACTAAAGACGATGGGACTAAAACGAGCCCTACTCTAGGCTCTCACTTGCCCTGATTCATCAGGAACATCGTCGATAAACTTTCCTATGTTGCAACATATGCACAATGTCTTCCATCATATTCTCTGTTATGTGCAACTTGCAAACGTGTTAATGCTGGTTGGTTCTTCTCTGATCCGCTGCATATACCACCCATGAAACGCGTTTCCATCGTGGCCACCGACGACAGACTGGTTCACAGAGTGGCCGGCGGAAGCACTCAAGGGTGTCGCAATGGCAATGATGACAGCAACTGACCTAGAGCTCGGGGGTGCTTTGGAGGGGATTGTTGAGATGTTCAGGTGACTCCTGTTGTGCCACATGCGACAGTTGACGTAACTAGACGTTTTGACAGCTGTCGTTGTTTGCGACAGAAATCAACTGGTGGACGCCAACAGTTGCTGTCGACACTTGAAGATGCGTCATTGGTAGTTTCCAATCCAAGTTAATAATACAATGCCCCTTGGTTACCCCGCGCTCAAACCCGCCCCGCCCGAACTCTACCTGTCTGGTGCAACCAATGGGTGTAGGGTTGTTCACCAGTCGGTAGAAACAGTCGGCAAGGAGTTCTACGAGTTCTTGAGGAGGCGAGTCTGGGTCACGCCGATGAGCTACTTGGAGCTGCTGGGTTCTTTCAAGAGACAGCTCACCAAAAAGCGCGAAGAAGTCGGGAGGAATCGATCGCGCCTCCAGGTTCGCCTGTTGTGTGCGGTGTCCGATCGCATACCTTTTCGTGCAACACCACGCGCCGTTGTTTCGTGCGGGAGAGTACCATGTGCTCTCTTCAACAAATGTTTCGTTGCAATGATGCCAGGATGATGTGTGGTTCTCGAGAAAATATCGAGAGCTACTTGTTGTCCTCGGCTCTGAAACTGCAATCATCATTGTTGTAGGATACACCAACAAGCTGGGTGCACATACTTCGCATTGGCACCTCTTCTGCTATTAGTCTATTATAGTTCTTTAGGCTTTGCTTTTCGCACCAAAGTATTGTTTGCGTGTGGTCAAAGTGGAGATACTCAACTCTTGCCTCACGGAGTAACTCCGAGCACACTCGCTGTCTTTAAGATTGTAGAGATGGCGAGATCTTTGCCTCAGAAATGATGGCGTATGCAACTCAAACAGGTGGGCCTAGACAAGCTGAGCAGCACCAAGGAAGTTGTGGCAACATTGCAAGAGGAGCTCACCGTCTTGCAGCCGCAGCTAGTCAAGACCATGAAAGAGGTGATCCTTCCCGACCCGGCCATATTATCGACGAATGCCTCCGCCTGCTTCACTTGAAAGCCACACTCAGCATAAGCCAACGTCCGTACAGTACGCAGTGTACACACGAGCTCGGCAAGATTATGTGCTACGGGCGGAAGCGTAAGATGTGACCCGCCACTGCAAGGAATGAAGATTATCCCGATTCCCGCGTGCCTTATCGCGGAAGATAGTGTCTATTTCGACGGCGAAATAATGCATACAAAGAAGTTTCTGAAATATGTCGTGAGTTCCTTAGTTAGTTGCAGGATGGCCCTGTGCAGCTGCAGAACGTCTTTGATGGATCCGTTTTCGAGTCGACCAGGTCTAGAGCATTCTGCCTTCCAAGGTCTGTCTATTGCGTTCGATTAAAGGACAATCGCTTGAGGTAGTGTTGAGGGCTGTACAGTGAAGAATGTCTGTGTGGCGGGCTACATCCTCCGCTCATTTCGTTATACTGGTATGTACATGTTGTTTGCTTGTTCTCGGGAACATCGACCATTGAATCAGGACGACCTACTAACCTATCGAATGGTCTCTCAATCTCTGCGTGCTAGGTCGAAGACATGATGGTCCAAATCAACTCCGACAAGGAAGAAGCCGAGGTAGTCAGGGTCAAGGTTGAAGCTGAAGAAGCGACGGCCAACGAGAAGGTAGAGCAGATTCAATGAACCAAGCTCCCCCTTTGAGAAATCTGTGTATCCCTCCTCTGAGAAGGCATGTTTTTGGGACCCTCTGCCTACAGTATCGCCAGCCTGCAATCGGATGTATTGAGGGTTGATCGGGGAGATGGCGAAAAAGGGCGTACGGTAGTCCACTGCTTCCATTCTTTTGTCGGGCAGGGGCGTGTAATAGCAGAACAGGGCACACGACAACCACGAATGAACCTGTGCATAGAATCTTGGACGCCTTGCTCAGGATCCACAGGTACCGCAAATACGTTTCAGAGAGACTTGTCGGATGTGTCTAGCCTATCTTTTGATCATTGTGCAAAACAAGATGGTGATCTCCGGTCATAAACCGTGAATCGCTTACGACTAGTAGATGCTTACTACAAACGTGCGGATGACCATCCCAGGAAGCGGTCATCCTTCAGGGGATCGTGAGTCAGACATTGCGCCGCTCTTCGCGCGAACGACCTACCGTTGGTTGCATAAAAGATCACATCCCCCGGACCGAACTTCACAGCTCGGCTACTCCACGACGAAGGGGATGCCACAAAAAAATTATTGCATTTTCGGAAAGCTCTCGACGAGGCAGTTCCAATGTCGTCATATTCGGCCCCGTCACTTTTTTGCTGCGGAATAATCATGCTCTGAAAATCGATCCACGGGTGAAGTATCTAATGCAACCTACGGTACGCTCCTCCCTATCATCGATGCTTGCTCGCAGGCCGCCGCGACGAAAGCGATCGCCGACGACGCTCAAAGGGACCTTGATCTGGCTCTCCCCGCCCTAGAGTCGGCCGTGGCGTGTCTCAACTCCCTCAAGAAGGCCGACATTGACGAGGTAGAGGAGTGATGCACGGTAGGGGGGGTCAACTCATCTTTAACGTTCGGGTACAGGAAGACAAACTCTGCTAAAACCTGTTGGGTACAACGATCTCGTGATCCTCGTTATATTGGGGGTTAAGGGTGTACCCCGGAGGCAACGTGGAGGTTGACGGACCCTGATGGCCGCGTCCTACATCGTCGTAAGATCATTCCCTTTTGCTCCCAGTAGAGTATGGTTTCACCCCAAAAGTACGCCCCCGACCGTAGCATCACTCAGGGCGAGAATAAGCGTGTCGACCGCGCACACGCGTGTGCACGTGCTTCGCCCTGCATTTCGGAGGGCAGAGTTCTTCGAGTCGGCTTCCGATTCTTGTGTACCAGGCCTGAGAAACGCGTGGTGATTTGTTCGGGTCGAATGTCTCAATATCTCAACATGGGTCGCCGAGGTATGGTCGGTAAACTGGAGGCAGCAGTAGCAGCAAAAAGCCACAGCAATAATCTCGACTCATGCGATTTCCTCTTCGTCTTGGCACATTATCCTCTCTGCGTCGACTCCTTTGGCACGCTCATGGACAGGTGAAGAGTCTTAAAACACCCCCAAAGGGCGTGAAACTGACAATGGAAGTATGTTGCATCATGTTCGACGTCAAGCCCAACAAGGTCAAAGACCCTGACAGCGGCAAGAAGGTGCGGGAATATCGGAGCCGCGGCGCTGTAACTGTCCTCATCTTTTCCGGTTTTGAGGGACGTCGTACTTCGCATCCCCGTCGACCTGTTGCTGAAACCATCACCGAATCACTTTACTGGTACGGGCATGGGCACAGATGGCCAATAACAGCACAGCAGTTTGGGGCGAACAAACTGTTTCTGAAATCGAAGAGCTTTACGTCCATCAAGAGTATCATACTGTCAAATGTTGTAGATGCGAAGGGTTTCCAATCATGAGGATGGACGAAGACTGGAGCGCACTTGTAGTTCTGACGGGGATAACATTGTTGTTGTTCTCGTTTTTGCCACGGTGTCTATTTCAAGGTGGACGACTTCTGGGAGCCTGCGAAGAAGCAGCTGCTGGCGGACGCCAAGGGGTTCATGGACTCCCTCGTCAAGTTCGACAAGGACAACATCCCCGACAGGATCATCAAGAAGGTACCGCGGCTGTTCTCACCGCTGTTTTGTCATGTTTATGTCGCTTCACGTCCGTTTCAGGGAATAATATCATTGGCTAAACGCAGAAGCCGCATCCTACCTAAAACATCATTGATTGAACGCAGTGGCCACATCCTGCCTGACTATCTGAGGTCGATGTCTACATGCTGCGTCCTTCAGGTGGAACCATTTAACAACAACCCGGACTTCACGCCAGAGCAGATCGAGAAGGCTTCCAAAGCCTGCACGGCTATCTGCATGTGGGCCCTCGCCATGTACCAGTATCACTTCGTGGCGCTGGGAGTGGCACCAAAGGCACGCACCATTACTAATATTTTCGGCTGTTTTGTGCTGGCCAATGATTGACGTGTCGCTCGGGAACGCACAGCCGGAGGTGGTTGTCACGGAAAGATACCGATACAATTTGCACCCAAGGAACGTAGCGTGATGATGACGTAAACAGAACACAACGCATTCAAAGCGGCTGAAATAAAGTGGCGCCAATACTAGCACCAAACAGAGATTACACAGCACAAGAGCATCGCTGGAACAAGGCGATAGGCCAATGTTCGCCAAAGTGCTTTGGGCTGTTTCGTTACACGCCATGTTTCGGTCCAATCGCCCTAATTAATGGTGCCCTGAAGGTAGCAACAGTGGCGACCGTATTTCACGTCTCAAATAGCCCGGTTTAGGTCGCTTTCTGCTTACGAGAAGACAGTCCTTGAGTGGTGTAAAACACAGGGCTCACGCACCCTGTTCAAGGTACAGAGACAACTTTTTCAAAGTCACCAACAAAGAAAACATCGAACTAGGAAGCCCAAATTGGTGACAAATTGCCTCAAGGGACCGGACCAGTGTGTTCGTGCGGGTCGTTGCTTACCTAGTTGCGAACAGAGCTACCAAACATGTCCGCGTCTCGAGAATTATCAGGTTCTCCCCACGGTTTTTTTTACCCTCCCGGAACATGCGTGTTCCTCGAGGTTTGTCCCAGGCGATCGTGTAGCCACGCTTCAAACCGTGGGCACTCGCTCTCTGGCACGAGATAATACATCGCTGACCTTCTCAGTACTTGTTGCCGTCGAACTTCGCCAGCGAGCCGCCCTTGCGGAGGCGCAAGAGGGCCTCGACATCGTAATGGCGCAGCTCAAGGACGCCAAGGCTAGGCTAGCGGGGGTGCAAAAACGACTCGCGGAGTTGCAGAAGGGCTTCGACGACGCTGTGGCAAAGAAGCAGGTTTGCAGTCCCCCATGCGCTGTCCATACGACATGAGTGAGGCTAGAAATGGTGCATTGGGGTATCATCCTTGCGTGAGCTACCTGCTACGATATTCCAGGGCTCAAGCAGAGAAACTCCTCGTGGAGTGTCGGAAGGGGTTCGGCTACATGGATGGGCAATACAGTGGACCACAAGATGACCGGGTCGAAATCCCATGAACGTACCGACGGAGCTTGGGGTACTGCCGTCCACAGCATGCATACCAAATCGACATTAATTTTTCAGCTTTTGGGTATACGACTAGTGGGAACTCTCAAGCCCCGCCATCTTGGCAATGGCGTGTAATACAGTACGTTCAAGTCTCCCCGTGTTCTGTGGCCTATCTGTCGTTGTGGCTACCATTCCCGTAGATGATAGAAAAAGTTGTTGTCGAAGACCGCACAAACTGGCAATATTGTGAACGGAAGAGTTCGGGACTTATACTGTATTGCTGTCACTGTGGCGCGCGATAGTGGAAATGAAGTACGAGAATCGAGGTGCTTGGATTGCGGCAAGCGCCATGTCGACCTATCCCCCCTACCATGTCGACCTATCCCGTCTACCGATTGCTGATCGCCGGTTCAATCGTTGGCATGGTTTAATAGGAACTGGAGCAGAAGGCCGAGCGGTGCGTTGTACAGCTCTCCAACGCGGAGAAGCTGATCGGAGGGTTGGGTGGGGAGGAGAAACGTTGGAAGGACACAGTGGCAACGCTGACCCTTGCCATGGACAAGCTACCCGGTGGGTGGGGCAAGAACAACATATTCAATGTTTAGTTCAGGTTTTGCCGGTCACCAGTATCGTTCCTCCTCGACCTATATATTGTACGTATGTGGCAGGTTGCACGCTCATCTCGGTGCTTGTTCCCGTCTTTCGAGTGCTATGCTAATATTAAACGAAAAGCATGTTGCATGTCGTGTATGAACACCTTGTGAAATACCGGTATGTTCAAAGCTGCATAAGGAAATGAGTGCTGCGCTGGAATCCGTTGGCACTCTTACTGGTTCGGGTTTGTTGTTGCGATACCTTCCATCTCACTGTCAATTTCTTAAGCAACCAGAGAGAGACCCGTACCGGGGGCAACACAGACCAAACGATATCGTAGAGTTTTTTTAGGCCTCTTGTCGATCGACAGAAAACCTGCTTGATCCTCACCGTTTCTTACCCCAAGCTCTGCTTTTGGATGCAATGTATTCCCAGGCGATGTCGTCATCGCGTCTGGCACTCTGTCCTACCTGGGGCCATTCACAGCGGAGTACCGCGCACGCATCGCCGACAGCTGGGTTCAGGTGCATATACTTGCCGGTCTGCGATGGAATCAATGTGCCAGCATTTTGGCATGCCTACAGGTCGAACGGCCTGAAGCAAGTACTACTTGTTCTGTAATTTGGAATTGAACGACATGACGATGCCGTGTCTTCTACTCACCAACTTTGCCGGGTGATTCTTGGCGAGAAGAACTACTGTTGTCGAATTGGCAGGGATCGAACGTCGCCCACGAAACCTTAGTGCAAATAGAGCTTGGAACACCGCCGAAGAATGACGTGGTAAAAATATCACAACAATTTCATGAAACCTAGTCTATACTGGAAACTCATGGCATACTCAAATATATTCTCCGGCACAACTGCATGCTCCTCCAGATCAACACGAAGGACTGATCTTGACGCCATGAACAGGCATAAAATACCCAAAAAGAATTAACCTAGACAGTGGTCGTGCCGTCGTCTGGAAGACTTTCTTGAAACCCACGTCGACTTCGATTTTCATCTCTGTGCGGACGGACGACGACGTGCTATTCAAACAGAGACATTTTCATAATCCTGGTGAAAAACTTGTTTTCTCGAGCTCTACGATTCGCGCGAAACACATGATGCACGATCACCCGAAGTAGTCGAGGTAGAATCTTCTTCTTGTTGTCTAGAACAGATTTTCATTTTTAATTTCCCCAAAACGCACTCTTTGAGCAGGTCTGAACCTCCATTCCTACCCGACCTGTTCCCTCAACGCCTACTCCTTGACCCCCATCACGGATCCAAACTTTGCAGACCCTTGTGGAGAAGGGATTGGACCACACAGAGGGCACGGACATGGAAGGCACCCTTGCGGACCCTGTCAAAATACGACAATGGCAGGTGAGACGTTGAGGCTGCATTTCACAAGCTAGGGGGAGGGGGGTGCACTCATTGTCGTGCATGCCGTAGTCGTTAGACCATTGACCTCGCATCCCTACAAAGCCGGGACGGAGCACGCCGGGTTCTCACCGGACCAGGCTCTCACATCACCAAGCGCGAAGCGCCGTGAGGTATTCCGCGAGTCGCATGAAGGGTGCGCTGCATCCTGCTAAGCGTGTTCGGCATCTTGCTTACTTCCTTGCGTACGAATGACACCTGCGTATGACTTAATTCATATTCTGGTGCTTTTACTTCCAGAGACAGTTATAAGCACTGTGTATCTGCCTCGAGGGTGCTTGACCATTTTATCACAACGTAGTGCTAGGCGGGGGGGGGTGGTACACGAAGTCATACCTCGTAATTCAGAGAAGAAAACCATGAAACTCCACATCGTGGCATATCCGATTTAGGAGCTCACGAGCGTAGAAGGAACTTCCCCCTCAAGATGTGGTTTGGAGTCCCTCAAGAATTTATGAACGCGTTTGAAGCATGCGTATCTTTAGACGGTGAACCCTTTGCTTCCCGACAACCATGCCCCTCGTGTCTTTCCTGTCAGATGTGCGGGCTTCCCCCAGACTCGCTGTCTTCGCAGAACGGCATTATCATGGACACGGCAAGGCGATGGCCTCTGTTAATCGACCCGCAAGGACAGGCCAACAGGTCAGGACTGCAGGACTGCGTCGTTGTCGCGTTCGCCATTGATTGATTGTGCTGTGCGTGCCAGCCGCTTCAGAGACGACCGGCTCGTGATTGTTCGTCTAATCCTCGTGTATCAACGCTCTCTTGTCTTCTTGCCTTCAAGGGGCCGAGGAGCACCAATTCCCGTTGAAAGAAATGGCACCAACGCTTCCGGCGGCTTTGTCGCGATTGCGACTTTCAGCGACGTGAAACTTTTTTGTTTCGGACTCGAAACAACACTGAAGAAAGCGATATTATGTTTCGTAATTTCACCACGGAGAATAGAATCATTTAAAGCTGCCAAACACAAAGGCTAGCATCATGGACGAATAATTTTGTATGACTTCAAACCAGAAGGTCTCGGCGTTCAAAGGAATTGGGCAACGCAGGAGGCACACTAGCGATGTGGCGATGAAATCTGCTACCAATAATATTATGTTTGCTTGGTTCCGCATATTCTAATGCTCATAAGTCCTGATTCTAGACTGAATGATTTTTCGAGGTTAGCATGCTTATCTTTGTTCAGCTGTGCTCACACGTAGAATACACTCACTCGCCGACAATTCTAAGGATCTGAGTCATGACACCCCAAATGTAAAAATCCCAGAGGTCCTCCCTGTTTCTGATATTTCTGAATACTCGAACCGAATGTATGCATGCATGTTTGTGCTTTAATGTTTAGGTTTGTAAAGAACCTGGGTAAAGACATAACACTGTGCCCAAACGGCATGGACGTGGCAAAGTTGACGCAAAAGAAGGTATTGCAGATTCTGGAGAACGGCGTGCGCTTCGGAAAGTGGGTACTGCTGGAAAACGTCGGGGAGGTACGTCTGAGAAAAAGTGGGGGGGGGAGGGTGCCTACGTCGCCAATCTCGCCATGTACATCAAAATTGGTCTACGATGTTAGGTGGCACTAGCTGTGGAAATGATCGCAAGTTGAGGAGGATCGCGATTGATACCCACCAGATCCACTCAGCTAAATGTTGAACGTGTCCTACATAGCATACCTGAGGCCATGACCTGCTGAGCTAACGCCTCAACGGCACGTACCCAAAGACCATGGTGTGACGTGGCAATTTTGTGTATCGTCGCACGTATTGTCTACCGGCTACTGAAATGAAATCGTTTCACATGTTTTTAATACACTGGGGTCCTTGGTTCGATGTTCCCTCCCTCCGCTCCCCATGAACAATGCCCGCGATATTGAAGCAAATACAAACAAAATAAGCCAAACTCTGAGTAGCAGTTGTGAACTTAATGTGCTACCTGGTACGTAACAAGCGCACCTCCACAATCACCTCTCAGTCAAATGGATTTGTCATCACTATATTTTGCCGCCCGGTCCGCGTTGAAAACAGGAACTGGATGCGGCCCTTGAGCCTATCCTGTTGCAACAAAAGTTCAAGCAGGGCGGTCAAGACATGATCAGGCTGGGCGACAACACAGTGCCGTACAACGATCAGTTCCGGCTACTGATGATCACCAAGCTGCCCAACCCGGAGTACGCCCCAGAAGTGCAGGTAGGTTTCGCTGTGGTGCATTTTGTCTGTCGGGTGTAGATGTACACTGCTGTACAAACTGCGAAATATCCCGACAGCGTCCGTGGGTCGGGTCCTCAGAATCACGATAAAGTAGCTTCTCGCTGTTGCGTCGCGTCGAGGGAAACGCTACTGTCGCCCCCTACCGCGGACCAGCGTTCGTGCATGAAATCTCTTGGAATTTCTCGGTTGGTTGTTGTTGTGAGAAAAGAAAGGCTTCATTTATTCGGAAGGCGGCAAATCTCAGGAGCGGCCATCTATCTACAGTTCAAAGCCGTGTGGATCGGCTCCTATAGCACCGGGTCACGCACAGAGCGCAACCTTGTCAACACCAAATCTTATCGGTCCCTTGCTTAGCTTGTTGGTGGCGCCGCCTCGAACGAAACGGCTCAAAATGAGCTTTTCGGACACCGCCAGGGTCTGGAAATGGGACTGCAACAAAAACATCAACCAGACCCATCTCGCGTGTTGCAGGTGAAAGTGTCCTTGCTGAACTTTACGATCACCATCAAGGGCCTGGAAGAACAGCTTCTCAACACTGCCGTGAAGGAGGAACTCCCGGACCTTGCCCAGAAGAAGGTACTTCATCATCATCGATCATCATCGATCGTTCGTTTATTTCTTGCATGCATCCGTAGGCTGTGGCCGGCAGTGCTGAGAACGTGTTGAGAGTAATGTATCCGAAGCAAAGGAGGCGGATGTGGGACACGTGACATTCCCAAATGTTTAGAAAGGACGTTGCTGCGCTGCACTTCTGCACGCTATAGTTTGGATTGCAGAGCTTTAGACAGACTCACGCTGTTCACAAGTGCTACTACGCGAATGAGCGCACCACCACCATACATCCCGAACGTTTCGTCGATTTCCAGGAAGAGCTGGTCATCAACGGCGCGGCCATGAACATCGAATTGTACGGAATCGAGAGCCAGATCCTGAAGCTCTTGAGCGAGAGCGAAGGAAACATCCTCGACAACACGGCTCTCATTGAGACCTTAGCGGAGGCCAAGGTGCGTGAAATAATATTTTTATTCTTCTCTTGGTCCAACGGAAGCGATAAAAATGTGCCGAAACGATTGCTTGAAGGAAAGAAGAACTCATCTGCAACGTTAATGGATGCAAATTATTTCCGCTTCTATTGATTATTCAGAGTGCTCTTTAGTTCGGCGTGGACACATGGTACGCAAGCGTTCTTTGTACACCTTCTGGGAAGCGTTCAACCTTGGCGTTCACAGATGCTTTTTTTTCAGAACGATGGCTAGTACGGTTGAGCGTTCTCTTTGACCACAGTATTCTTACTGTCAAGACGGAAGCCTACGGTTGTCTCGACGACTCTCGGCGTTATGGGCTACAGAACGCCACAAGCTTCTTTCAAAGGCTATTTTTCTGTGTATGTTCGAGCCTGGGAGTACAATCGGCACACTAACAGACTTTCAGATCGGAAGAGCCTTTATTGCTCAAACCCGGCATCGTACCTTGCGCATGTAGGTGAAATCGAGTGAGATCAAAGAGAAGATGGGCGAAGCGGAAGAGACGGAAAAGGAGATAGAGGCGAGATCCAACGAGTACCGACCGGTTGCTAAACGAGCCAGTCTCCTCTACTTCTGCTTGGCAGATCTCGCGGTGGTGAGAGATTTTGGGAGTTGTCCAGGCCTTCCTCCATGCTTTCTTCGACCGCATGCGTGGTAAAATAGCTTCCACCAACAACCTAACAACCTCGACCAACCAGTACTTTACAAGCTTTAGGGTTTGGGGCGGTTGGCTGGTTCCGAAGAGTGTTGGCGGAATCACAGATGTCCACACGGCTTCATTGTTTTTGATAAGAACACGTTCGGGCTCACCAGGTACCATACGCCGCGTATTTCATTGATTTTCGGTATCGAGAGTACCGCTCAGTCACGCACCCCTGAAACCTCACGTGAACACGCCGAAGCATGTAATTTTTCGTTCTTGCACAGGACTTGGTTTACTGGACCACGGGATGAAAATATTTCTTCCCAGATTGAGTGGCTGTGGAGACGAAGTCCATAATTTCTCGAGTCCTTCGCATAGGCACTTCAGCTAGAAGCCGTGTACTCTCCTTCGCAACTTTCCAGCATATCCCATCTTTGACGAATATATGTTTAACTAGTCCGCTGCCCGAACCTATGGCTGCATGCAGATCGATCCGATGTACCAGTACGCCCTGCCGTGGTTCAGCTCGTTGTTCTGCAAGTCTATCGGGCAGGCTCCGCCTGCCCCGGACCTCGAGGGGCGGCTGCGCAGCCTGAACGACTGCTTCACGGCGGCGGTGTACGTGAACGTGTGCAGGAGCTTGTTCGAGGCGCACAAGCTGCTCTTCAGCTTCCTGCTCGCAATCAAGATCTTGCAGGTAAAAGGCTTCGACCATGAACACTTAGCTGTATGACCACGCGAAGAAGGATTGGAGATATTGGAATTTTCCAAGCTTCGCGCTGGCGCTTTCAAGCTCGTACCTCGTAGCAATCGCGGTCAAGTTTTATAGATTTCTCGTCGATCACTTGTTCTTGTTGCTTCCCCCCTGGCCTCGCTTCGTGCGTACGGTGGTTATGCGCAACTAACCCCTTCCTCGATTGCCTTTTTCTCCTAGGGAGATGACCGAATAGATCCTACCGAGTGGCGTTTCCTCATCTCCGGGATGTCCCCGGGGCAGTCGTCTATGGATAACCCGGACCCCTCCTGGATCGAGGTGAACGTGTGGGGGGAGGTCAAGGCCCTCTGCGGGATCGAGTACTTCAAAGAGTTCGCCACGGTGTTCGCGCAACGAACGGTGGCTTGGAGAAGGTGCTAGCCCGGCATTTGATCGCGGAACCTGCGTTGGATTGCTGTACTCATTGCCTAACACTTTCAATGTTGCGGCTACAGTAAAATTTGTGTATGTTTCTCACGCACGAAACCAGCTCAAATGGGTTCGCATCGCCTCTCGTCTCGTGCTCAAACGTGTGCATGTTACTTCACAATATTTGCCATTTTTCTGTGGACCCTGAAAGTGGAGAAAACCCCTCCGTAAAGGCGTGTGGCTGAAATTTTGATTTCGTCCTCTTCAAATTTGAGTAGATATTCCGACGTTGGAACAACGTAGCAGTGATGCATGTAGCATAGGGCAATTCTGAGTTGGAAAAAAAAATTGCTTGATGGAATGGATCTCCCCTGGCTATTTTCTCTTCCATACCGACCGCGATATAACCCATAATTACTCCAGTGTACATCTATGCTACCCGATCCTGTCGCCTCATCATGTAGTGTACAGCAGTAATGACTTTCTTCCGCGGCCCTTTGCTTTCTCAAATCGTGGAACCAGAGTATTTGACTCGAACGAGCCGCACGCTGCGACGTTCCCGGCCCCGTCGCACGAGCTGCCGAGGAAGGCGGGATCGGCCATCTTCGGCGTTGGGAGCTACCCGGAGAAGGATGTAGAGGGATGGCTGCGTAGAATGTGCATCCTCAGGTGAGGATTGCCTCAATAGGCACGACCGAAGAGGGAGGTAGCATTGTCTCATCGTTCGTTTATTACAGGATTATTAATATTGAACGTGAGGCTGTCGCTCATTCTTATGGTTTAGGTGAACCGGAGGCTTACTTGCTTGGAGGGGTGAAATACATGCGTGGGTGACGGTGAACACCGGCGTAAAAATTCCAGAAAGGAGGAGCGGGTGTGATAACCGCAGCGGCTCCTGAGAGGACGACACTCACCGAGATACCCCTCCTCGTCTACCTTTCATTCTTTCCGCACACGGCGGGCAGGTGTCTTCGAAGGGACAAGATGACGGAAGCAATGCAAGCCTTCGTGGTCGACGTCATGGGTCCCTTTTTCGTCGAGCCCCCAACTTTCGACCTGAAGCGTTGCTACGAGGATTCCTCGGTTACCATGCCGCTCATCTTCGTACTCAGCACGGGCTCGGATCCTAACAAGGTCCGAAGGACGACCTTACAAATCACAGTCACCCCCAGGGGTATTGTTGCACACAATTGGGACGCTCTGTTTTTTTCAGTGTGCGTCGAAATGTGGCGTGTGTGTCACATGGCACGGTTGAAGTGTTACACAAAGCGGTTTCTGTGCGTGTTATGGTTGTAGTGTGAAACGAGCAACCCCATGACTGCCAAGGGTGAACGTGGTCTCCGCAGTTGCTTAACCTCCGCGGTAGGGTATGAAACCTCCTGCTTGTTCTCGTCGTGTCTACTGTTTCAGCCGACGAAAGCCATAACATGAATATCCGGTCCGCGAACAACCGAAATCAACCACTCCATCAACAACCATGCACCACAGGACTTGTTTCAGCTGGCGGAGGACATGGGAATGACGGACAAGATGAGAAGTATCGCCCTCGGGCAGGGGCAGGGAGGGATCGCTGCGGCGATGATCGAAAAGGTGCGAGAGGAAAAACGATTTGTCCTCTTTCCGGCGAAGTAACCCGATCCTTCAGAGCCATCGTTGTCAGATTACAAGCATATGCGCATAGGATATCGCTAACCACAAACAGTACAAGGGACAGTCGAGAAGACAAGTACTCAAATGGAAGTAGCATCTTGTTTGGTACATGTCGTTTTCGGTGCTTATCTGCTCACCCGATGTCTTTGAACATGCCTGTAAGTGCGATTATCTCGAAGAGACTATTCTTTTTCTGGTGTTCTATTCCGATCGACTTCCAATCATCCCACAAACTATCCCCAGGGAGTGTCAGAAGGCAACTGGGTGCTGCTCCAAAACTGCCACCTTTCCATTTCCTGGATGCCCGAGCTGGAGAGACTTTGTGAGGAGATCAGTCCGACGCAGACCCACCAGGACTTCCGGTTGTGGCTTACGTCCATGCCTAGCAAGTTCTTCCCGACAGCGATCTTGCAGGTATGTACGCAGTCAACGCATGAACTCATGCCAAGCATGAGGCAAAGTACCTCCCGTGATCAAAAGGGCGAGAGTGACAGATAGATCCTGCGAACGGGTTTGCTAACCACCAGCCAATATGTGGGTGTGAAGAAACGTTCGATGCCGGGCTGGTCCTTTGAACTCATGCTGTACAATCGAACGGAGGAACAACGGCAATATTTGCACGCGTCGACACGTGTATGTGGTGCTTTCGCCACTTTTGGGCAATTCACATTCATAACCCCACGCAATTTGAGCAGACGGGAGTTAAGATGACGAAGGAGCCTCCGAAGGGACTTCGAGCTAACCTCAAGGCCACGTACTCTAAGATGGACGACGACAAGCTCAAGCGCACGTGCAAGCCCGAAGATTTCCAAATGATGCTATTCGGTGAGACGCCGTGCTTTCATCCAGCACACCACAACCCTTCACGCGGCGTATGCCCCCAAGCATGCGGGGTGTGTGATGGCTAACTCCCGCATTACTGAACACCTAGCGTGCGAGCGGCGGTGCTTGTGCACTCGGACCGTTGACAAATGTGACATCAGTAGGTCCTGCTTTTGACTTACAGTTGTTGAGCCCTTGAACAAATGTGTCACCAGTAGAAGACATCCGTTGTATTTCTCGAGGTCCCGCAAATGAATATCGTCTCTGTCAGTTCGCGAGTAATACCCCATCTGGGCTCATGTCTCACATCTGAAATGAAGGGTCTCACCGCGTTGTTTCAATTTCTCATGGGTAAAAGTCTCCCTCCCCGTATACTGTGCCGTCCTCACGTTGGATGTGCAACACGTCCTGCTGCGCTCGATTCCACCCCTCTTGAGGTCGTATCATGTCGAGTTTGGCACAATCAACCCACATTCCTGTGCGGCACATTGCTTGTTCGGTGTGTGGGACAGCCCCGTGAGACCATGTTCGGTGTGTGGGACAGCCTCGTGACACCACGGAGGCAATCTCTGCTTCTCTGCTCCCACAATGGGCGTACGGAGAAGATCAGGTGGTTGAAAGCGGCAGAGGCAACAACAGCACCAACAACAACAACAACAACAACAACAACAACAACAACAACAACAACAACAACAACAACAACAACAACAACAACAACAACGCATTCCCTATCTATGCTTGGTGCATCAATGACCTCTTAGGTCTTTGTTTCTTCCACGCGTTGGTCGTGGAGCGGAAGAAGTTCGGACCCCTCGGTTGGAACGTTCCGTACGAGTTCAACGAGACGGACCTAGACATCTGCATCGCACAGCTGGAGATGTACGTCGACGAGTATGCCGTCATCCCTTATCAGGTAAAACGAGCGTTTTGATGCGAGCTGCGCGGCTTTGTACTACTTTCTATCAACCCCACAGGTGCAGATCAACCTCCAATTCAACTCCTCGCGACCCTCCCGATGGTACAGTATTCATTTGGCTTGATTTCGACCTAATGTAATCGCTCCCAGCTCTGAAAGGGTGGTCCGAGGGGAAACAATACGGCCTGCGACAGCAGCGAGACCCCGATCCCATCAATTTTATTAGCACGCCTCCATGTTGCCCTTGCCCACTCCCCGTGGCTCAACTTTGCGCCGTTCAACCAACCCCAGGTTCTTCGACAATTGACAAGTGTAGTTAACTACGGTGGCCGCATCACGGACGACAAGGACATGCGGACCTCGGACATTATCATTGCAGGGTTCTACAATCCAGAAATTCTCTCGAAGGGCTTCAGCTTCAGTCGGTCCGGCCGGTGGGTGAACGATCCGGCGCTACATATTTTTGTCGACATTGCTATTTTTCGATGTCATGATTCTCCTGACGATATTTGCCGACGCCCGCCACACGACACACAGATGCTGCCACCCAATCCGCACATACTACTGACGAGACAAAAATGCTCCCCACTTGTGATGGAGAATCAAGGCAGATTGCGCGAAACTCTCCTTGTCATCGCTTCTTGTTTAAACTCCTGATATCGGAGGCACGCGAGAAGGCGGAGTTTGGATCTAACAGGGTGGTTGAGTGAATAAATCGACCATGAAAAAAGTCGTACCAATCACGTTGCTTCCTTGCTACTTGACCTTGACGTGCGATGCTACCCCCGCTCGAAGGTACGGCTCGATCGAACCGGATCCGGATAACCCCCAGCAAAGCTACCTCGACTACATCGAGTCCTTCCCGCTCAACGCTGAACCCGAGGCAAGCTGTGCCTGAGTTGGAGGGGGAAGAGTAGTCCTACAAACCGCATCATGTGGGGGTTGTATGCATACAACGAAACGATGCACGTGGCACTTCGCCATGCGGTATACCCTCCCGCAGCACGAGCGCCTCGTGCTTGCTTCACTTGTCAAAGGGATGAAAGCGAGAGGCGTTTCTGAGTCGATTCAGAATCCACGCGCAGTTGTTGGACATCAGTTCTTTCCTCAACAAGTACCCACCTATGAATGCATAGCTAAAGGAATGAGCGGATTTTCGAGGGCGAGAACACAGGTTTCACGCAAGGAGACACGTCATGGATCAGTGAGGGCAACGAAATACTATGACGACAAGAGATTCACCGCGCGTTTTCTGCAAAAAAATGCGGACGACACACGTCGTGCTAGCCCTCCACGGAGCATCATCAACATGTTACCCTGGTGCAACGACAATAATTGATACGGAACAGGTGTTTGGCATGCACGAAAACGCGAACATCACGTGCGCAATCGCGGACACAGAGACGAGCTTCTCGATCGTCTTGTCCATGCAACCGAGGACCGGGGGCGGCGGCGGGGCCTCTCGCGAAGATCTCATCGGGGGCATTGCCAAGGACATGGAAGATCGGTGAGTCCCGATCAAGACACTGGTCGGTAAACAGCAGCCTTGGCTGGGTCGCGCCCAATGTTTTGTCCACAAGGTCCTCAAACAGCTTATGGAAAGTGTAGGGCCAGAGCTAGAGGAGGCTGTCGCTAACAGCATAATAATATCGGGGCAATGACAACGGTCATGAAACTAGCGGGTCGCCGTACCCAGCTTTCCGCGAGCCGAATCTGCTTATTTTCTCTTCTTTTGGCGTGCCCTTTCCTCTACGGGAGTAGATGGACTCTACCCCCAATCTGCGCTCTAAACTCGATCGGCGTGTGTGCTTCAGAGGGACTTCGTCGACGTACTCTCGCGCGGAGATCCGAGATTCCCGCCTTGCCGGTAGCCTGGAACTAGGCAGATTCCACAAATGAAGATCATTCCGACATCCACTGGTTGCGTTCGCCAGGGTTGTTTGCAAAATTGGGTCTCAAACTCAATGCCGAGCCTGCGGTTGTTTGTTGCGACTGCAAACATGTGTTGGGCAGGCTTCCCGCAGCTTACGATGTGGAGGCCGTGGGGATGGCCTACCCAACCTCGTACGGCGAGAGCATGAACACCGTGCTGGTTCAAGAGCTGCAGCGGTACAACAACCTTACAGTCGTCATTCGAGCTACGCTCAAGCAGGTAAGATTCGTGACTACGTAGATCGATTCAAACTCACACGACGGCTGCTAGTGTAGCGTTATAGACCAGAATGGTTGTCGTTGTTGATGCCACGCCTAGGGAGGTTAGTAGTAGCACAGAGAGCTGCTTCGGAGCTGTTAATGCATGGGGAGTGACTGATAGTTGTAGCGAACGCGGCTAAATGTGGGTGATCTCGTGAGTGGGATCACCACCGACTGGTCCGTTGCTTGGCCACGCCCTTGGGTACAAAAAAACACGTTGGTGTGACCCACTTTAGGGTAGAAATACGGCGGAGGCAAGGACGAGGGGTGCGGTACACGGACATGTATCCTCCGCACGGCTTCGCGGAAGCCCAAGAGGGGCGTGCCTACCTCAGGGTTGTGCTTTGGTCGTGTTGTGGGCGACCGCCGAACGCAAACGTTCGACTCATCACACGCCGCTTCCTCTGGTTACACGACAACTCGATGGTGCTGCGCAGGTCCAGAAAGCTCTCAAGGGTCTCGTCGTTCTCAGTGCGGAGCTAGAGGCCATGGGCAATTGGTACGTGCTCTTCATCCCGTTGATGTTGCCCCCAAGCAAAAAAAAATCAACTTTGAAGGAGACTGAAAGACGCAGACGAAGAATATGATAGCTGAACCCCGATGCAGAGAATGCGCTGAGTTGTATTACCACTCGCACACACTACCCAGACGTATTCCTCTTCAAGCTGAGCGTCGCTCCTGGGAAGGTGTATTTCGATGTGGCCTACGAAAACCATAGCCGGCAGCGTTCTTGAGAGAGAAACCAACCGAACGTGAGAGCCCAACCCAAGTTCTTCTTGCGTCCCCACCCTCAGCATGTTTGACCAAGCCGTTCCAGCGGTGTGGCAGTCGAAGGGCTATCCCAGCCTCAAGCCCCTGGGACCTTGGTACCAAGACCTGTTGGATCGGCTGGGATTCATGACCAACTGGGTTGACAATGGGATACCACCGGTACGAAGGAGGAGAAAAGGCTGTCCGAAACGAACATATGTTGTACTAGGCCGAAAACATACAGCCGGCAATGCTGTACCAGGCGGGTGAAATCGCGAGAAACGGATGGGACATTCAATTTTGCATCATACTCTGGATAGGACCGGATGCTCGCTGCAAGACCAGTCAGACCCCTTGGTACTAGGCGGTCTTCTACAGGGACCACTACTTGCAATGTATGGGTCGGTAGGAGTGATTTCCGGTGGGACAATGAAGCGGCAACGTCCCCACATGCACGTGCTCACCATCTGACAACGGGACTCTTTCAAGGTAAATAGTCTAGTCTGCAGCCCTCGCTAAGGCATTTATAAAGCCCGGTCGTCCGTGGTGAGCATTACGCACGACGGTAGACATTGATGCCCTTTTGATTACTTCGACACCTCCCTTAAAAAAAACGCAGGTGTTTTGGATCAGTGGCTTCTTTTTCCCCCAGGGCTTTCTCACTGCTGGACAGCAGAACTTCGCGAGAAAACATGACGTACCGATCGACTCCACCACGTTCGCCTTTCACTTTAAGGACGAGCCGCGCACCGCACTCTCAACGTGAGTGTAATTATAGCAAACGAGGCCCCCAATAATCTCCAACGCTTCAGAGCTGTGGGTGCCTATCCATGTAGGCGATGACAGGGGGGGGGGGGGGGGGGG